GATCATCTCTTACCCCCACACCTTCCCTGCCTTCCCTCTGAGGTTTGACGGTCTGTTCAATGGTTCTATGTCTCTGTATCTTTTTTGTTGTTGTTCATCAGTTTATGTTGTTCATTATATTCTACAAATGAGTGAGATCATGTGATATTTATCTTTATCCGGCTGGCTTACTTCACTTAGCATAATGCTCTCCAGGTCTATCTGTGCTGTTGCAAATGATAAGAGTGCTTTCTTTTTTATAACAGCATAGTATTCCATTGTGTAGATGTACCTCAGTTTTCTAATCCACTCATCTGCTGATGGGCACTTAGGCTATTTCCAATCTTAGCTATTGTAAATTGTGCTGCTGTGAACATTATTTCATGACTAATGATAGGTGTGACCTACAATTTGAATAACACCAATCTAAATGAATTTCCAGTTGTATTTCTCATTATAGTCATGAAAAAAAGATATGCCGCTTGATTTAGAGCAGCGGTCGCCAACCTTTCGGACCTCACGGACCACCAGTGGTCTTAGGACCACCAGTTGGCGACACTGATTTAGAGGGCAGTAAAGTTTGCTCATCAGTATAATGCAAACCTTTAGAAATATTCTAGAAATATTCTAGAAAATAACATTGGGTGGCAGGAATGTGAAAATGCGAGATAATCTTAAATGTTTATGTTATTTGCAAGAACTGGACTCAAACTGAGCCTCTAATTCAGGGGTCCTCAAACTTTTTAAACAGGGGGCCAGTTCACTGTCCCTCAGACCGTTGGAGGGCCGAACTATAGTTTTAAAAAAAAACTATGAACAAATTCCTATGCACACTGCACATATCTTATTTTGAAGTAAAAAAGCAAAACGGGAACAAATACAATATTTGTATTTGCATGTGGCCCCGCGGGCCGTAGTTTGAGGACCCCTGTGTCTAATTGTATGTGTATATATAGATAAATCTTACAGTCAGGGCCTGCTTTCTGTAATCTGGCATGGCCTTGTTCCTAAAAGATATTCAATAAATACTTTGTTGCCTGATTGAATAACAGTGGCATCTACTGTTTTATTTGTAATTCTAGGTTTCTTTAAAGAGACATATAATATAAAGGGAAACAGAAAACTATATCTGATTGTTTCTTTGTAAGAGCTGTGTTGGCATTCATAAAAAAGTACTTTAATTCCAGTCTGTCTTCATGGGTTAATCCTAAATTCAACTTAATACATACATAGAAGTCATGACCTAGGTCTTAGTCTCAGGAGCTTGAGTCATTTTTCTGGGACTGGCTTTCTTCATTTGAAAATGAGTGCTTTGGAATTATAATTAGTAGTTAAATTACTGGAAGTTATGATTCCTGGGGAAAACACCAGGAAACACTGATTTATTTATATCCTCTATATGGACTATGAATGGTTTGACTTGTTAAAAATATGACTGTTACATATAGACAAAGGCCTCTACTTCCATGATAACATACTTTTCTGTCATATGTGCTACATGTTTATAACTTTCTTGCCTCTCAGTCAGTATTAGTGGGCGGCAAAAGTATATCTGCAAATTGGAAGGTGATAACCATGGTTTGATCTTAGCAACAGAGCACCTTTGTACAGTGTGTCAAAGAAATGTTAGATCAGGCCTGTGTAACCACCAAAACTCTTTCTAGCCTTAGATCTGCATTCAGGGATTCCTCTCTTATGCCACATGCCCTTTTTATTTTTCAATTTTTTCCTCTTAACATATCCCTCCCTCTTCTGCAGGAATGACATCTTTGTGTTCCTGCTAAGCACCCGAGCTGGAGGACTGGGTATCAATCTCACTGCTGCAGATACAGTAAGTCATGAGAGCCAATACATTGAATATGCAGGTTTTCTACTATAAATACGTTGTTCAGTTGGTATCACCCTTTGCTTTGTGTCACAAACTTTTTTCTTTGCCATTGGTGACAGTAGTTGTGCTTTGCCTGGAACTGGAACATATTAGCTTTCCTTTGGACTTTTCTATTTATTCTGTTGGAATAAATTTTTTATGCATTCATTCAACAAATACTTGATGAATGCCTACTATGTGTGTCATACTATTCTAAACACTTGGAATGTGTCAGTGAATAAACACTGGAAAAAAATCAGCCAAGTCAACCAGGAGCTCTAACTAAACAAATCAGGAAGCATTGTTTTATCACTCTTACGCATTATTTCATCATAGGAAAACATCATATTTTTGTATCCCAAACTTCAAAAGGTAGTTGGAGAGCAATGAAATTGGAATTAAAAAAATAAAATAAAAGACATTTCATCAAATGAACTATCCTTTCATACCCAATCTCCTTGTGGGGATACTTCAGCATCTGAAAGGGAGAAGAAAAGAACATTCCTTTTGAATCTCAGAAATATTCCCAGGATTCAAATATATTTAATAATTTCCGTAATCTTGAGACATAAAAATGCATAAATGGGAAATTGTTTTGTAGAAGGCATGCCTCTAAAAATGCCATCTCATGTGGCGGTTGTGGAGCCTCTATGAAATACTGAGCATCACAATTCCTACAAATAGAAGGATGCATACTGGAGGGTCATGGATAAATGAAATACAAGGGTGGAGAGGCTTGAAAGATGCACAGCAGCAGAGCTGGAACTAGATTCCACACGTCCTAGTCTCCACTCCTAGGCTGTGTCCCCCCTTTTTCCTTACTCACTACTACATAGAACTGCCTACTTTCACCCTGGCCGGTGTGTCTAGGTGGTTAGAGCGTCAGCCCATGCACGAAGGGTAGTGGGTTTGATTCCCGGTCAAGGGCGTATACCTGGGTTGCAGGTTTGATCCCCGACTCTGGTCAGAGCATGTGCAATCAATGTTCCCCGCCCCCCCCCCGTTCCCTTCTTCCCTTCCTTCCTTCCTCTCTCTAAAAATCAATCGGAAAAAATATCCTAAGATGACGATTAACAACAAAAAAAAGAATGAAAACCAGATTCTAAATATCAACCATAGGATCAGCTATACCTTCCTTGGCAACTAAACCTCTCCAACCAGTTAACCAGGTTGGGACAGGGCTCCAGGGCCTGAGGACCACGGGGGCATAGCTAGCTAGGTATATTCTGTCTTACGTGCACATCATTAGCCACAGTCATCTTAAGGAAAGGCTATCATTGGTGGTAGGTGCTGTTCTTACGGGTTTTCTGATATGGTGGCTCACTTGGTAGCATATTGGATAGCAGAAATTTGGCTTTCTCTTTGCCCCTTGCTTCTCTGTAAGCATTTTATACTGTCCCAACTTGAAGTCATACTGACAATGTGAATAAAAGATTCATCCCTTTCTCCTAGCTGATCTTTTGGACTCCAATCTCAGCCCCCAGCCTCATACCTACTCTGTTTATACCCTTCTTTACAACCATGCCACTCCCTTGCTTAAAACTCTTCAGGAATTCTCCATCATCTACAAGATAAGCTCCTTTACATGGCATACAGGCCCTTCATTTTGTGGCCTTTATCTCCCTTTCCAGCCTAAGAAACAGATTACTTCCCCTTCTAAAATTTACCTCATAGAAATGATTTACTTGTAGTTTTCCTGAACACACCATCCTGTATCACACTGTTGCATAAACTGTTCCCTCAACATAGATCACTCTTCATCCACCTGGTAAATTTTAAAACCTCATTTTTGATCAGGGGTTGTTGTGTTATATGGCCTAGTCATGCTTCTCTGGTAAGATGACATTTGAGCCAAGTTCTGAAGAAAGTAAGGAAGCAAGCCAAGCATATATCTGTCAGAAAGAAGAGCATTCCAGGCAGAGGAAATAAATGCAAAGCCCTGAGGTGAGAACATGCTCGGCATAATCAGGCAACAGCAAACAGCCCTATTTAAGTGGAACATAATGAATGAGGGAGTGGTGTGAGATGAATGTTGCAGAAGCAGGTCATGTAGGTCTTAATAGGCCATGGTAAGGATTTTGAGATGGGAAGTCACTGGAAGAATTAGAACAGACATCTAACGTGAATTGGCTTAGGTTTTAAATGTGTTCCTCTGGCTTGGGTATAGGGTAGGGGTGGGGAGAACTATAGGGAGCAAGGTAGAATTAAGTTCAGTTAAAAGTTAGACACAGATGATGGTGATGGACAAGGGTTGAAGCAGTGAAAGTGGTGAGAAATAATTGGAGTCTGCATGTATTTTGAAGGCACAGCCAATAGAGTTTGCTGCCAGATTGGATGTGGGACATGCAGGAGGTGTGATGAAGAGCTCCAATGTGTTTGATCTCAGCAGCTGGAATGAATTACTAATTAAGGGGAATATTTGGGGAGCAGATTTGATTGGGGGGACTCAAATGTTTGGTTTTGGGGGGATTAAGTTCAAGATTTTTAGCAAACACTAAATAGCAATATCACCCAGGCAATGGGGTCTCTGGAGTTCAGGAGAAAGATTGGGGCTGAAGGTGTGTTTTGGAATCATCGGGTCAGAGATGATCATTTAAGGCCATGAGGCTGGATAAGTTCATTTGATCAAAATATATTTTCCTTTGCAGCCTGCCTATTTTAGGATTGGTCTATGGTTTCTTAAGGAATAGTTCCCCTAGTTGTCCAATTGAATGGTCAAAAAAATAAGCAGGTTTGAGGGGGAGAGATCTGCATCATGCTTCCAGTGTTCACATAGTTTGCCTTGTGGGGTAAGAGCTCCTGCCAGCCACTGAGAACCAAAATAGGCCCTTAATCCATAGCTAGGGAGTAGAAATAGGAATTCCCTTTTCATCCTGGGGGCTAAAGAGGGGCTCTGAATATTCTGAGTTCTCAATTCCAAAATAATTTACATTAATTTTGAAGGGAGGGCTTGGGGATTCACTTGTAAATTAAAACCTTCTGGAATACTCAGAAAAATGAGACCACAGATTGAAATGAATTCCTAGGTTATGGTTTGTGTGAAGTCAGGTTATACTCTCTGTGTATTATTAGAGAAACAATAGGCTTAACTGCTTGCCTGGTTGGTGTTTTTCCTTTGTCCTGAGTTTATTTAGCTTTGGAAGATCCCCAGAGACATTTACGGACAAGAGCATAGTCAGCCTAAAATGCGAGAAAAAACTCAATCTCTGATGACGAGAATGCATATATAACCGTGCTTATAAACAGTGGGACTCCGGCCCACTCTGTGAGTAAAAACATGATTTTAGCTTGTGGCTAATGGCAGCTGCCCCTCACTGTCTGTGTTCTTCCTGAAGTAGGGGTCTCTTTGCCTTTGACTCTTTAGTGAGGGGTTGTTACAATCTGCACTGTTTGTTTTGTTTCTGTGTCACACGTGTAAATGCTTACGTGTAGAGAGAGAGTGAGGAGCTTTTGTCCCTTGGTTGCAATGTGAGAAGTCCTTTGTTCCTGTGAGACAACATGGGACCGCTTTCAGCCCTCCCAAGGGACTGCACTTCCACTCCTTCTCTAGGGGAGGGGGGTTCTACCCTCCAAGTGCTGGTCTTGTTTTCCATTTCAGTTCCTCTCCCCTGAAACTACTTCTCATTGACCTATAGCTAAGTGCCTCAACCTCTTCTCAACTCTCACCTCCCCCTGTCATTTCTGTCCAGCCTGGTGTTTACAGCTTCATGAAAGATACTGACTATTAATATATTTCCCCTTAGTCATTGCTGGGCCACGCTTTGTGGGTTGACTTGCTGTCATTTTTCCTAATTAAGTCCGTTGTTCTGATGCCTTCATTATTATTTGTTTTTCTCCAGAATGTCTCACTGAGTTCCATAAACCTGATTACCAAATGCAGGTGTCTTCTCTGTCCCACTGCCTTGGTCATTGTCTCCTCGATTCCCCGCCCCCACCCTGAATTCCTGTCATAACTGATTCAGTGTTCATTTTATTGTAAAATTAGATAATAAGCATACAACTAGGTTAGTTTTTTCATTCTCGTTCTTCTTTTAACTTATTAACTTATGCATATTTCATATTCTTTTCCCCTAGGCAAGTATTTTTCTAAATAGAATCTTATTTTAGTCTCTCTTCCTCCCAAATTCCTCACCTCTTTTAATCCATTTAAATGATAAATAGCCACTAAATTCTCAGGGGAGGAAGGGGTTGAAGTTAAATTGCAAACCTATCTCCTTAGGCCAGTGATGGCGAACCTTTTGAGCTCAGCGTGTCAGCATTTTGAAAAACCCTAACTTAACTCCGGTGCCGTGTCACATATAGAAATTTTTTGATATTTGCAACCATAGTAAAACAAAGACTTATATTTTTGATATTTATTTTATATATTTAAATGCCATTTAACAAAGAAAAATCAACCAAAAAAATGAGTTCGTGTGTCACCTCTGACACATGTCATAGGTTCGCTGCCTTAGGCTTTAATCTTCTTACTGTTTATGAGCTCAAAAAAGACAAGTGGAATCAGGTTTGGTTTCCCCTGAGACTTCCAGTCAAAAAATGTAAATGTTATGGAAGCACCTATGAAATGGAACATCCCATAATGAATTTAGCTGACCCAATGCCTCAGGCTTTGACACTAAAAGTACTATGTTTAGGTGTGACATAAGCCCTCATTTTCCACATATGTAGTCATTTTAGGTATAGTAGGCAAGTAATGTTCCCCACTAGTCCAATTGACAGTCTCCTTTTTATTAACTCAGCCTTCTCTTCTCCTCGAAAGTTTAAACAGATTTTCTAGAATTTTGCCTATCTTGTTGAAACTGCAGAATGCCCTGTGGTCAGGTTTGCTGTGCTCCTCTACAAGTGACAAGTGTTGTGCACTTCCAAATCCTAGTTCTGTGGATACTGGATTATCAATCAGCTTTCACAGTGATTTCTTTCTTTGGCAGGCAGTTTATAATTCTCTCCCCAAAAATTCTAACCTA